AATGCAGCGGAAGACTGATAAACATGGATCTGACTCACATCTGACTCGGACTATCTGCAGACTCACACCATACATTCATCGGGTGGGAGGCCTGGCCCTTCAAGCATGGAAGACAGCGCCAGGGCCTGCACAATCATACACAGACGAAATGTAGGGAGAAGAGACAAAGAGAGGAGGAGAGATGGCGCCAACACCACTGTCACCGAAATAGAAATCCCGAAATGTCGAAGATGCCAAGTCTCGTAATGCCGCAATGTCAGATTCCCAAAATAGTCCCCTCAATGTCTCAATCCGAAATAGTCTCAGTCCCGATGTCACCGATAGTCCACCTCTGATCTCTATCCAGATAGTAGTCCAGAATGTAGAAGGTTAGAAGATGATGATGATGAAGAAGAAGAAGAAGAAGAAGAAGAAGAAGAAGAAGAAGAAGAAGTCAAGTCAGAAAACCGACCACAACGGAGGGCCAGAAATACCAAAGAAGAAAAAACTTCAGTGTTACATTCAGCCGAACACCGCATAATAGCACGCAAATACCTCGACGCGTTTCGACTTGGTGCGTGCCCAAGTCTCATCAGGAGGTTATGGAGGAGTATAACTCCTCTTCAGGTCACATCTCTTGCCTCTGTCCCACACCCTTCTTNTCGACTTGGTGCGTGCCCAAGTCTCATCAGGAGGTTATGGAGGAGTATAACTCCTCTTCAGGTCACATCTCTTGCCTCTGTCCCACACCCTTCTTCTCTCCACCCACAGTCCTTCTACTTCGTTACATTCACGGCAGATCAGACTGGTAGTACCCACAAGCAAAAACCGCCTCCTCACTCTCATCCCTCCGCGCAAGAGCACGATCCGGAGTACGCCGGGTACTTGGCGCGACTGAAAACCCAGAGGTCGGGAATATATCCTGGCATATATAGCAGGGAGTACGTCCCTCCTTCAACTAGCTACGCACTGGGTTTTTTCTTCGATCAGCCGGTCCTCTGCAGACCCGGCGCCCAAATCCATCGAGGTCCGGAATCTGAAGTCCCTAGTGCTGTACCAGAATTCTTCCTCATAACGCGTACAGATTCATCACGGGATCAATATTTCGGAGGGGGCCCAAAAAACCGCATAACGGGAAAAGCCAAAATTGACGAAATAAACTAGAGATTCGGCCGGTATACAGATACCAAAAAAACCGGCCTGTCTCTGACCGGGGCATGCAACCCATCCATGAGCTAAGTGTGCCCAAAAAATAATAACCGGTCTGTCTCTGACCGGGTCACTACTCAGTCACGAGCTAAGTGTGCCCAAAAAAACTGGTCCTGTGTAGCGACGTCGTCGGCCCACCGAGGACACAGCCACGGAACAAAGCAAGGGAGAAGGGGAACAGAAAAAAAAAATTCGAGGACATGAGATCTAAGGAGTGTGTAGAAAAACAAATTTTTAATCTAAATTGCGGAGAGCACCAAAAACCCGGCAGTGGGGGTACAGCTGCTGGATCCAAGATCCCCAGGTACCACCCACAACATTGGCGAACCTAGCCAAGGAACCGAAGAAGACCTCCGGGGGGTAGTCCCGGAGGCGAGCCTCCTTTATGAGGCAGATAATCGAGGCTTGTGCCCCATCATCATTTGTGAAAGTCTTCCAGAGTCGCAGCATTGAGGCCGTTAGAGTCATCCTTTTTACTCGCTTTGCGGAGTACGAGCGGCAGTCCTGCATTGAATGAAAATGCAGAACCCCATCTGCCATGATCGTTCCCTGATTCTTAGTTCTTGGGAAAATATGTACGACAGCCGGCCGTGGTTCAATGATCACTCTACTCCCCAGAAAGTCCCATGCATTACTGTCGTCGTCCTTTCTTACCAGTTTTAGAGAGTCTGGATAGCATCTTGTGAACAATTCTCTGATCTCCAAAGCCCAAAAGTACGAGCTATCATCATGATCGTCAAATGCAAGAAAGATAGACGCATCGTCTACCATCCTAACTCCGGCTAATAATCGCCGGTCCTTCCCAAGTGCCTTCAAAAACATGTACTCGGCCTTGGCACAGAGCAAGTTTGCCAAGGCTGGAGACGAATGTTTACCCATGGGAACCCCAAAAACCTGCTGATATACACGCCGTTCGCACACGATGTACGTATGCTGTAGTTCATACTTCAAGATGGTCACGATTTCGTGGAAGGAGATGAACAGATATCCCATCTCCTTCCTCACAGTCCTGGCCATCTTGCATTCCCTCGAATACTTACCTTCACGCCAACAAGGCCTTGGTGAGAATGCATCTGTGCCAACCAATGCACCGAGTCAACAATGTCGTCGTGAGGAAGTCTTGCAAACATGTCCTTGATGTCATAGCTTCTAGCTATGACGGTATTGCCAGCTCGGTGGACCTCAGCCACGCGGTCCGTCATCGTCTCCCTCAGCAAGTCCGTGGACCGTAAACTGAAGTGCCACGTCGCAGGCACACACAAGAGCATATATCGGAGTGCTCTTCCCAATCTGGCGCTCAGCGTCCTGGTTGGTTCCGACCATGAAGGAGAGATCGGTCGCCACCTAGTGTAATCCTTATCCTTAGGGATCACATATGCTCTCCCCATCTTCCCGCATGTGCGCCAGGTAGCGAATGCATGAAGCCCGGCCCCCCTGTAGTCTGCCTTGCTCTGTGCAAGCAACTGCTCTTCCCCTACCGTCTTTGGGATGTACCCCGAGTTCCAGCAGAAGGTCATTCGAAAAGCATGGAGGTACAGCACTGGGCAAATCACCAATGTGGCACCAGGGTTCCTGTCCAGTGGTACTAATACCAGACCCCGGAGACACCGTACTGCTCGCTTGACTTCTTCCTCATGCAAAGTAGGACATACAGATGCCCTCCCATTGAAGCACCTAGACCACTCCTCATCAGTGATGTGAAGAGTATTCTTCCTCCAACCTTTCGGGATCGCAAGCGCGACCACCTCCATCAGCTGGATCTTGGTAATGTCCCGCCCACAAGTAACATTCTTGGAGTTGTGGAGGAATCGATGGACGCATGACACAAGGTCGAGTCTGGTTTGTACATGCCCCTGGAACCTTTGTAAGGAGAACTTGGCACATGTACACGATTCCGGTCCGTCCTGCAGAGTCTTCCTGTAGTTGTGTATGATACTCCCCACAGTCTTGCTCTTCAATCTCACAATCTGCGTTCTCTCTATCACCAGAGATCTAACGTATTCCTCCCTCACTGATAATGTGACCGTCTTGACGATCACGTCTCTCACTGGTCCCATGTTAATATGCACGGAGAACGGAATACGTACAATCAACCTCCTTTTCACATCGATGCCATACTTCTTCTTAATCACGCGTGCTAATTTCTGACGAAGCTCACTCTTCGTCCTATCGCTGGAAAAGAGACCCGCGGTGTGGTACAGTGCGATCAGTTTCCTACTGGTAAGTCTATACAACGACCGGACCCACCATGGCTGGGAGAGGAGGTCGCGAAGAAACCGCTTGTTCCGTTGTACACCGGAAGAAGTAACTGCTAGACGGTTAATACAAAAACGACAGCCCGCCTGAATGTCCTTCTTAGCGTCTCTTAGCTTCATCCTTGTCGTGCCTATGAGGACCATAGTCTCGCCGTACCTTTCCCGAATCGATTTCCATGAGTCGAGCCAGTATTCTCCTGCATCCGTGTCAATGCAGATTCCTTGATTAGTTGCTTCCAACGGTTGGAGGAGCGAGCGAAGTGAGGCGGACCTCTCATCTGCCGCAGTAAACACAATCATTCTACTGGCCCGCCTTCCCGTACTTCCCTTCCTCTGCCTAGCACTACTCCTTCGCTTCTTCCTCCCATTCTGTCGAAGCCCAATCGTGTTGAGGGCAGGTGAAAACCTTGCTATCAAGGCCTTCTCCGCCGTTAAACTATCTTGTACGCGAGGAAGTAATGGTACCGCTACATACGTATGCCATCCGTAAAATCTCAACCACGTATGCAGTTTCAGAGCGTTTCCCATGCATCCGGTCATGGAGCATCGGATATGCTCACCCCACCTAGTCACGACCTTCCTCACTGTGCAGCCGATGTAAAATTTTCGGCAGTGAGGACTAACTACCGCGTAGACACCAGGTGAGTTCACATCAATGATCAATCTCACCCGGATCTATAAATCGCAGCAGCTTTTTAACCGATGGGACATGCCCCCTAACAGTCATCAACATTACTAGCAGTGCCATCTCGTTCTCCTCATCTCTAACCAGCAATGGTCGTACTCCATTCTGTTCTCTGGACTTTCTTCTCGCCGCTAGCTTCCCGAACCTGATGGCGGCAGCACGGGTATCCATTACAATGCTTCAAGACCGCTGGCCGGAGCCCTCGACGACGGAGTCTGAGCCTTATTCTCAAAAAAAAAAACATAAGCTAGCCTAGTACGACACCTCACTACCTCCTGAATGGAGATGTCCTTCTTCGTGTATTCGATACCCTCCTGATCACAAATCTTAAGAATCTCATGTGCCTTCATAGCACTGAGCACCTTCGTCTGAGTGAGGGCGAATTCCACTAAGCCTTCACTTGAACCTTCTGTCGGATACACCTTCTTCGGAGTCGCGAACTCATCTTCATCTTCCTTCGGTGGAGATGTACTCTTCTGAGCCCTGGTTGTCCTTGGTGTCTTCTTTACTGCACGGCTAGTTGCTCCCCGCCCATTTGTCACTTTCCTCACGCTCTTCCGTCGTTCTAATGCTTCAACTAATTTCTCAGCTTCTTCCTTGACCTCCTCGCTGTCATCCTCTGATTCTGCAATATAGCTCCTCATCTCCCTCAACATCCGAGCTTTAGTTCGTGGCGACCTCTTCTGTTCAATAACAGATTGCGAAACAGGTGTGATCCTCATCGGCTCTTTCCTTTGCGCAAGGATCCGAAGGATCGCTGCTTCGATCTGTGCTTCCCGAGCCAGTTCTTCTCTCAGCTTTTCACTCTCCCGACGCTCATCTTCTTCCTTCTGTTTTTCCTTCTCCAATTCTCGTTTTTTCTTTTCTTCCTCCTCCTTTTCTCTCTTCGCGATCCTCATCAGCAATTCCCTCATCTCCGTGTTCTCCTCTTCCGGTCTTTGTTTACTCGCCGCCTGCCAACAGTTACGCGCATAGTGGCCATTCTTACCGCATATGAAGCAGGTCACTACACCGTATTGAGAAGGAGCGCTGTTCGGCGCTCCGCCTTGTCCGATCATCCCTCCTCCGAGCATACCAGGACTAAGCGCGGAGTTCACCCCTGGGTTCATCCCCAGATTCCCCATGGCTGGGCCGCCGCCGCCTTGCCCAGCCATGTTCTGCACTCCTACTCCTGCCATCCCTGATTGCATCTCGGCTCCAAGGTACCAAATATGAAATAGACGCGTCTAATCTGTGAGTACAGATGGTCAAGGTCCCTAAGTGCTTTTCTGAGAGCAGGTCTAAGCTGCGCCTTGTACAGTGTTGATCCACGTCTCGCTCGCTTCACCAAAGATTCCACGATGAGTCGATGTAGCGTAGCGAGTAATCGTCCACACCTCCCTAAATACTCCAGTATCGCTCTTCTCCCGCTATCGGTATGCGCGTGGGAGGCCGCCATTCTCGAGAGTATACTCATTAGCATCTGCCGTGTAACACACTGAAGTCTCCTTACTCCACGCATGTCACCAAAAATCCGGATCTTCCTCCTCAACTGCGCAGCCATCCTTTCCTCACTTTCCGCCGACTAACCTTATCTCCCCACCTTCCACCCAATCCGCTCCACCTTACGTCTCAACAGGTTCTACGTCACCCACCAGGGATGACAGATAACCTCGCGACCACACACGCGGCTAGAAGCACGCCGGTTGTCACGTTTTCTCGAAGTCAAGTCAGAAAACCGAGCACAACGGAGGGCCAGAAATACCAAAGAAGAAAAAACTTCAATGTTACATTCAGCCGAACACCGCATGGTAACACGCAAATACCTCGACGCGTCTCGACTTGGTGCGTGCCCAAGTCTCATCAGGAGGTTATGGAGGAGTATAACTCCTCTTCAGGTCACATCTCTTGCCTCTGTCCCACACCCTTCTTCTCTCCACCCACAGTCCTTCTACTTCGTTACATTCACGGCAGATCAGACTGGTAGTACCCACAAGCAAAAACCGCCTCCTCACTCTCATCCCTCCGCGCAAGAGCACGATCCGGAGTACGCCGGGTACTTGGCGCGACTGAAAACCCAGAGGTCGGGAATATATCCTGGCATATATAGCAGGGAGTACGTCCCTCCTTCAACTAGCTACGCACTGGGTTTTTTCTTCGATCAGCCGGTCCTCTGCAGACCCGGCGCCCAAATCCATCGAGGTCCGGAATCTGAAGTCCCTAGTGCTGTACCAGAATTCTTCCTCATAACGCGTACAGATTCATCACGGGATCAATATTTCGGAGGGGGCCCAAAAAACCGCATAACGGGAAAAGCCAAAATTGACGAAATAAACTAGAGATTCGGCCGGTATACAGATACCAAAAAAACCGGCCTGTCTCTGACCGGGGCATGCAACCCATCCATGAGCTAAGTGTGCCCAAAAAATAATAACCGGTCTGTCTCTGACCGGGTCACTACTCAGTCACGAGCTAAGTGTGCCCAAAAAAACTGGTCCTGTGTAGCGACATCATCGGCCCACCAAGGACACAGCCACGGAACAAAGCAAGGGAGAAGGGGAACAAAAAAATAAAATTCGAGGACATGAGATCTAAGGAGTGTGTAAAAAAACAAATTTTTAATCTAAATTGCAGAGAGCACCAAAAAACCGGCAGTGGGGGTACACCTGTTGGATCCAAGATCCCCAGGTACCACCCACAACCTTGGCGAACCTAGCCAAGGAACCGAAGAAGAAGAAGAAGAAGAAGAAGAAGAAGAAGAAGAAGAAGAAGAACCGAGAGGGGCCGAGGAGAAGGCGGAGATGGAGAGGTGGGGAGGAGGAAGACCCTCATTACCCTGATCCAGTGCCCAGGCACCAACCTGCTGGCGCAAGGCTCTGTCTTGAAGCTGCTGAAGACCTGTCCTTGCTGCTGGAGCTTTGGCGCTCGCCGGTAGGCGCAGGTAAGTCCCTCTACTCTTTCTCTCACCTCTGCAGCTAGCGCTACACCTAGTGCTACTGCCTGGAGCTGCGCTAAACCCAAAATAGCTCAGCGCTGCTCCTCAATGCTGCGGTCTCAAAGTCTCCTGACAGACCGCTGGCCGGTACTAAGTACTGGCGGTGGCCTGTTCGGCCTGGCTGCTGAGAACCCGCGCCGTGATCTGGACCATAGAACGATCTGACGGTTCATATTCAACCCGCCAGGGAAACTGCAGCCTCAAGCTTCAGCCGCCAGGTCCAAACGAAAAACGTTTGGACCGGTCTCCCGCTCAGGGCCTGCAGTTGCAGACCCGGGTCTAAAACCGGGTGCTGGAGGCCCAACATCGGCCTTTAACCCAGGCCGGACTGGCCCAGCGTGGCCACTGTCTGGGATAATCCCCTCGACCTAGCCGTCGGGCCTAACAGGGGCCGTGTGGAATCCAGTATGTAACAAGTAGCCCCGAGATTTCTGATTGGCTCGATTTTGATTCTCAAGTTTAGCCAGGTGAGGGTTTAAGTCGACAGAGATTCCCTTCCCCCCCGTCACCCATTGATGTCTCAGACGAGCTGTTGTGCCCCTCAGGCCCAGTTCCAGCTCAGGATCAGTGTGGGGTAACACCCCAGTCCCATCTCCTTGTGGTGTAACCAGTCTGGGAAGTTCGACATTCAGACAGTATAGTCGAGAAACTTCATATTTATGCAAGGTGGATAAATCATTGCCAGTAAACTTACGCCACAAGGTGTATCACTATTTAGGCAAAAAAGGAAAAAAAAAAAAAAAAAAAGAAGGCAAGGTGCATGCTTGCTTACTGCAATGTAAACATCGTTGATGGAGACGGCAAATAGAAACCAGATAAAGGAATTTATTGCACTGTAAACTGCAAGTGAAATTGGCATGAACTCCACGCTCCTTGTTCTAATCACCAGACCCTGCACAGCAACCAATTCATAGCAGAGATGGTTCAGAGTAGAATCACACAAAGTCGGCAAAGGCCATTGGGCATGAAATTAACATAAACAGTTCAGACTAGAATCAGGCAAGAGGAGCCGACAGAAGGTTAACCGACCCCCCAATTTTCACCCCCATTTATAAGAAAACCAAAGGGCCATTTTAACCATACTTCACACCAATCTGTAGAGTGCACTTCTTGCTAACTTAATGTAAAACGAAAACCGAAAAAAAATAATTAGAAACATATAAAACAGCAAGCCAAAAGTGCACTTTCATGAAATTTTACCAACATTTCAATTTGTCAATTTTCACAATTTTCACCACTGCCCAAAACAACAATCTCCAGGAACCCTAGGGGTGAAAAGTGGGGGTACCTGTTAACCATTTGTGGAGGAGCCGGGTCGCCAGACTTCTTTCTCACTGAACAGGGATATTAAAAAATAGACATCTGTTCACGCATGTGGACAGGACTGCTTATGCATCACCCTTCCTCCCACGTGCTCTTAGAGGCTTCACTGATTGACAATTGCGAAATTTGAGTTTATAGTCTTTAGACTGCTGTAAGGACCTGCCCAAACACAGACTGAGAACACAGCTGATTTCTACGTTTTGCCGCTTGCTGAGATTCCCGCTTTCTGCTGAGCTTTTTAAGTCTGTGTGTGTGCGTGCTTGCTGGTCTGCGTGCCTGTCTGAGTGCTTGATGGACCCGCAAGGGTGCTTACTTGGGAGGCCTATAGGGCCGGTACTTACCTGTGGTGTGAAATTGAGGGTTGCAGCGGGGAAAACACTCGAGTGGCGGGAACAGGCCCCCAACACTTAGAGCAGCGGGGAAAAACACTCGAGTAGCAGGTAGGCCAGTACCACACCAGGTAGCGGTAGATGTGTCGGGTACTCGAGGCCGGGCAGAAGAAGACAAAAGTTGGCATTTTTAGAGGCCCAGTAGTTGTAGGCTAGGTCTAGGCGGGCACCAGTCCATGTAGCCTGAGTCTAGGCCCTGTACGGGGGATCAGAGTCTGCAATGTTGTCTCCCTCCGAAAGGGAGGAGGTACTGGTTGCTTGGAGGCCGTGCGGCCTGGAAGTCACTGCCTGAGAAGCAAGTAGGGCGCTATGTCTCCAGGAGTCCTCCTCATTTGCTGCGTGCAAGTTTGGACGTCACGCTGCTGGAGCGCTGGAGGAGCAGCGCTAGTGTGCAGCGCTGTGTGGGGAAGAAGGGCGCCCAGATCTCCACCCTGGCTATGGTGGAGGAGCTCAGGCTGGAGGAGGAGGAAGAAGGGGACTAGGGTAGGGGAGCGCCAGGGGTACTTACCTCGCTATGGTGGATGCCGTCTTCATCTCCTTGGTGGGCGCTGCACCTGGAAGGTCCCCATAGGGGTAGAGCAACACCAAGAAGCTTTGAGGCAGAGTCAGGCATGGCGGCCTGAGTGGAAGCAGCCATAGCTGCTTTGAGTTGTCTTTTGCACGTCAGGGCAAGGCCGTAAAAGTCCGCCATAGCCTCGTTCTCGTGAAGAGGAAGGAGGAGGGCGGTCATGGCTATGGTGGACCTCATGTGCCAGCAGTAGAAAAGGGATTCGGACATTGATTCGGCCATTCATCATTATTATCATTATTTATTGTTGAATGAGAGGGGAGGAGAAAAGGAGGAGGAGATTGGAGTGGCGAGAAGGAGGGGTATTATCATTGGTCTTTGCTGGTGTAGATCTTCTTCTTCTTTCTTTCTAATACTCTTCTTCTTTTGATCCCTCTCTCCTCTCAAGTTCATTCATTTCATTTTGCAATTGGACGGCATTGTGCTTTCTCATGAATTTGTACTTCGAAATTGGCCAGGTAACATTGGTATCAGAGAGGTTTCTACTTGCTGGCGAGAGTTGACTTTGCCACTCCAACCCTAACCTAAGTGAGAGGCCTACCACTGGGCTGGAAAGTCGAGGGAAGTCAGGCAGCATGGTTAAGGGAAGTTGCCCCCGCCTGGTTAGGCCGTGTTGGGTCGACACTGGACCTGACCAGGTTGCTTGAGAGTAAGTTTGGGGTGGCGAGACACTTCGAGAAGACTTCGTGTGACAATTTGGGAGAGGTGACAGTGAGAGGCACGTACATCGGGCATCTGACCTAAGGAAGACACTTGGCGACTTTAGGGCCTCCCTCAAGTAAGCGAGCTTAGCCATTATGCATCTAGGGACCACAAGTTGCTACTTTGATCTTCAGCATCGGCGGGGGATCCAGCGTTGCACTTTGGTGTTGGAGTCTGACCCTCCTGGTAGATAGGACTCCTGATATAAACTTCAGATAAAAGTTGGACTTTGAAAAGTCAAAATTCGACTAACTCCTTGGTTTTGTAAAACTTTGGGCAGCACTTCCCTTAGCGAAAGTGACTTTTCCTAAATTATACAAAGCCAAGTAACCCAGAAAATGCAGAAATTGAACTAAGTAAAATAAACTTGACTCAGAAAATGCAGGAATTGAACTAACTCCTACAGCTCCAGCACATAACGAGCATCTAAAGCAACTACCTATCAACTGATACTCAAACTAATTAAAAGCTCACACTCAATCACAAACAAGTCCATACGACAATGAGTAAGTACTCTTACCAAGACCCTAAGTTGTTTCCTCATAATGCAAGAATTGAACTAAGTAAAATAAACTTGACTCAGAAAATGCAGGTATTGAACTAACTCCTACAGCTCCAGCACAAAGCGAGCATCTAAAGCAACTACCTATCAACTGATACTCAGACTAATTAAAAGCTCACACTCAATCACAAATGAGTCCATACGACAATGAGTAAGTACTCTCACAAAGACCCTAAGCTGTTTCCTCATAAGATAGTTCATTAAACCTTCGGATGATTACCCCTTATACCCATCTTGTATATGGCATGACGCTAGACCATTCAACTTAGAAACAATACCTAGCATGCCTTAGATTAGACACGAACATATTGCATAACTACTTTTCTCTTCTTTGGGCGTGTGACTAGACCATTCAACTTAGAAATGCTTAGTCACCCTGAACAGTTTAAACATCCAAAATTTAATAACTCTCTGATTTGTCTTCAAAGTATGGGTAGGAGACTGAGCCATTCAGCTTAGAAACAATGCTCAACTTGCCCCGTTTACTTTCATTTATACTCTTAACTTTACCTTTTCTACTTAATGATATGGTTTAGCGTTGAACCATTCGGCTTGGAGACAATGTCCAACTGCCTGCTTACATGCAAATATAGATAAAATATCTCCAATTATACTCATTTGTGCTTAATGAGTGGTTTTGGGTTAAGTCATTCGGCTTGGAAACAATGCTTATGCCAAAATCCTTCCTCAGAATAAAACAAAAGAATGAACCATTCGGCTTGAAAACAATGTTCAACCATCCCTATGCCAAAATTATCGCTTTCCTCTCTGAATAAAAAAACTAGACTGGGAGTAAAAAGGGCAGAGGAAGAGTCATTTAGTCGCTTTGACTCGCATGAGAAGGCCTTGAAACCTTTAGCCGCCTGAAGGCCCCGCAATGGCAGCCAAAACGCACTGTACTGGTCAGCTCGTAGTCAAACGCTGAACAATTGGCACTATGACGGACCTCTAAGTTGCGACGATAACCCCCCTTTGCAGCTTGACCACTCCTTCAAAAGACGTCTTTCCCTCTGACCAAATTGAGGTCACGCAACCCACAAAGGCTGCGTTCGAATAGAGCACACCCCTGCGCTCTACTCAGACACCGGCTTCAACAGCTTCCCACACACCACAATAGTCACAGTTGCCGCACTAGTCAAAACACAACGTCGGTAGCAGCAGCTAGACCCAAATTCCAGCAGAAGCAGTCATAACATGGCAATGGTAATACATGGCAGTAGCAGTCTTCAAAATTGTTACGGCAACAGGTAGTAACCACAGACAACCTGTTATCTCAGCAAAGGTTCACTCTTACAATTAGCAGCTCTGATCAGGGAGGACACCAACACTAGTTTCAACAGTACTGCTTCAAACAGCCAGTCCTACTTTCAACGGCTTGGCGAAGGCCGAAGGACATGGCCGGCAACAATGTTCCGTGCATCCTGTAGTAGCACAACAAGCATGTAGCAACCACCTGGCTTGGGGCTGCAATTGTTCAAGCTGGGAGCAACTGGAATCATAACAGAAATAGATAATTGCAGCAACACTTCGCGTGTCTAGCAACAGTTGTAGCCAAAGGAGAACGCAAGCAACAGCTGCATGGCTGCACTGTAAGGGATCAAGAGCACTTGAACGTGGTAACAACAGCAATGTTCCACGAGGCCACGGTCTTGGAAGCAGCAAACTCTGTTGGCGGTTACCACGCTGATGCGCACAAGAGCGAGCACTATTCTGGGTCGGGATGACGATCACATTGGCACACTCAATGACAAGCTGCAGCGCAGCCACCACCACGATGGGGTCAATAACCAAAATCGTCATGGCAAAATATCATTGACGGGGCTCGCTCTGCTACTCTCAAAATGCACAAAGACTGAATCTTACACTAGAGCTTGGGCAGATTCGCAGCCAACTTTTCCACTCGGTCTACACACAGTTTGACCCCGTAGCTCAACTTTTGGATCATTAGCATGGTCAGTTCTTTGAGGTGGGCGCGCCCCCTGTTCGGCATCCGCTTCCAGGGAACTCTTTGACATTCCTCGCTCCAAAATCGTGAGGATCACACCGCATCCTGAACACCAGCGCCCATGGAGGAACCACCGCCCTTCTTGCTCATAGTTGGGGGCAACTGTGCGCTTTGCATATCAAAAACGGAGCGCCCCGCAATTTGGCCCATCAATCGCCACTTGCTTGCTATAATGAGCAAATTGAGAATGAATCTTCCGCTAAAACTTGGGAAGATGCATCCTCTGTCTATGTCCACAGGCACGCAACTTCATAGCTTTGAGCATCAGTCCATCTCGTACCGGCTGTTGTTCGAGGTGAGTACTATTTTGCCTTCCCTCTTTCACTCTCTTCCGCTTTTCCAA